CCCCAAAACCCCAAAACCCCAAAACCCCTCTAAAAATCCAAGCTGGCAGTACAAATAAATAAATTAAAAATGGCTTCGTGGTACATGAGTTCTAAATTCTACCAGCCTAACCCTCCAGAAGGCTCTAAAGTAGCCTGCCCTAACCCTCCGAAGCAGTCACACTTCAATAAGTACATCAAGACTTTATTGGCTGAGTTCCCTGACTTCGAGGTGAGCATTTGGAATTGGAAGAATAAAAGAGATTTGGAATAAATGGGGATTTTGTGATGTATTTTGGAGGAAATAGCAGGTGTTTTGGGGGAATAGAGCATGGTTTTGGGGAAATTAGTGAGGGATAGGGGGTGGGTATGGTCTTAGTGAGGGATTAGATGCTGGAATTGGTGATAAATTATAAAGGGGGCTTGATCTGAGGATTGGATTATTATAGTTTTAATTTTAGGGGATCTTCTAAATCTTCTCGTATTCTATAATCTGAGACGATGTTTCTGGGTAGATTTGAGTTATTGCTGATTATGATAAACTTAATAGCTTCTATAATTTTTAATTATACATAGAGTTGTTGTCAAAAATATAGACCTTTTTTATTCACTAAAATAAGGAAAACTCTTAATTTTTTCTTTTTGCCAGACTACTCATTAAACCTAACTCTCTACCTTATTACTTCTGAATCCATCCTTAATTCCCTGCAATAACCACATTCCCTAGGCACAAGAAGCTTCAAAGAGAACCTAAATCAAAAAGAAGGAATAAAATTCCTTTCACAAACAAAGTTGTGCAGACAACTTTGATAAGCCACAAGAAGGCTGCCAAAAGAATGATCAGTTCGGTTGAGATTTTACCTAAGACAAAGAAACTGCCTAAATCTTTTGGCAAACTACCTAAGCATCAAAAGGTAAATATTTCACTTGATTCTTTAGAGGCATTTATTCAGTCATGAGAAAATAAAAGCTGTAAAACCTTTGGATAAGATTTAGGGTGACACAAAGAAGAATATCCTCTGTGTCTGGAAGAACCATAAGTCCAAAGATGGCAATACTTGAGGTTAGTAGTTTATTTAGGATTTAATAGAGATTTCACTCGTGGAAGCTAGTAAAAATCGCCAGCCTCAACGAAATCCCCAGCCTTATCAGTCATATAAGAACATTGTCAAAAGCAAGAATATGTACGCCCAGAACTTTTTTCAAATGCTATATAAGAATATGGAGGGTAGCACAAAAGCTTTTGAGGATACTAAAGCTACAGATATGAGCTCAATTTTGACATCTAAAGAACTAAAAATACCTTGTTCGACCAAGTCTAACAAGTCTAATTTTTACTTAGAGAAACCTTCAGTTAGGAGGCCTTTTACTGGCAAGAACTTGAATAGAGATCTTGAGGATGTAAAGACTGAAGAAATATATCAGAAAGAGAGAGTGACAAGGTAAGACCACTTCTAAAGAAGAGTTTGTTAGTTTAACACTTTAGAGATTTAGCTGAATTTATATTAGATTTTGAAAAAAATTAACGGATATGAGCTATTTTGTGATAACATGGTCTTTTAGTAGGAGAGAAGTAAGAAGAAGAGAGAATTTGAGCAAAGAAGATTTATATAGTCTTAGGGGTGAAATAGTTGTATCAAGGCTAAAGAGAGGACAATCCCAAGATGACTCCAAGACTTTTGTTCTATTGAATCATGCACCACTAAATACTTTCCCAACAAAATTTTCTAACAACAAAAAGAAACAAAAAATTCCAAATGGGTTTAAAAAGAATTCCTTTAAAACTAATTCTCGAAATGGAGTGCACAACAAGACCAAAGTTTGAAGGTTAAAATTTGGTAAAAAGTCTATTAAAAGATTAAACCCAAAGCAAAGAAACAGTAAGATAATTAATAACCACCATAGGCATCAAGAGAAGGATAAACCGTCTCAAGAATGGTAGTATGACCAGAACTCATTCCAGAGCTAAAAAGCCAAATAAGTAATTTTACCCTCAAGTGTTAGGAAATTAGAGAACAAATTTAATCATAAGGGGGTTTATGGGCAGAATAGCTATGAAAAATTGCCTCTGGACAGTTCTATTGGCTCAACTAGTCATAGCAATATCCAGGTGAAGGATAGGATCAGTGCTCAGATTAGCATCGAAAAACTTAAATAGCGAATTAATTAATAAAGAATCTCCGAAATCTAGGACAAAAAGGTTGAAAAGTTTGGTTATTTTATAGTCCCACAGCCACCTTGAAACAACACAAATTGTATCAGAACTTACACAAGGATTTAGAAAAGCTATCTGGAAAACCTAAAGAAGCTTACAACAGAAGAACAACTAAAGGAGAGTAATTCTTTTTATTTACCACTTTAGAGAGAAATGGATGAACAAAAGGCTAACAGAAATGAACTCACAAAGACTCAGTGAGCTGATATCGTAATCTTCAGATATTCAATCCAGTGCTGATGATATTCACAGTAGGAAAATCTACTGTAGCAGTAGGCAGAGTCAAGCCAAGAGTATTTTACAGCAGGTCTTAGGCTCCAAAAAGCACAAATATACGAATTAATCAATCTTTCCGGATCATTTAGGGGTTTTGGGGTTTTGGGGTTTTGGGGTTTTGGGG